ATGCCACCCCTTTGCCACCCCATTAGTATTTCTCTAGATCCGCCCCTGCACAGGACACCTTCAGAGGTCCAGTAGAGGCCTCGTTGGCTGGAGTTCTTACGGCAGCGCAACAGACAGCATCATAATCTTTTGTCTCATCTGTGTCCAGGTAGCCACTTACAACTCTCCAACACCTACAAAATGTCAGATAAACAGGAGCACATGGTTTTCCATACGGCTACCAGCCTATGGCCTGTACATACAGAAAACCAGCTCAGAGGACAGAGGAGGAGAAGCTGCACTGAACGAGCCAAACTGCTGATTCATGGCTGAACATCTCAGTCAGACAGCTTCTCTTCTACTGACTGCCCATGGTGCCAGGTTTGACGTGCTCAAGCGGCTGAAATACTGCCAACTGTCAGCATGGTGTGTCCCAGTTTAGGACACAAACTGGGTCTTGAGGTCTTCAGATCCTTGGGTTTCCTGGTTTCAAAGGATTCAGGTCAGAGACACCTTTTATGCAGACTACGTGACATTTGCACTTTTAAATACTTACGGTTTTTCTTGTACATCAGAATCTCGAAAGAGTTCATCTCGTAGTTTTCAAAGGTCTGTCGAACCTTCTCACTCATCTCCTTGTCTGTCAGCTCGCCGTACATGAAGCTGCAGAAGAGAACAGAGCCTTTGATCACGTATGTAAATGATAAATGAAATATTCAATGAGCATCCACATATGTTTGTTATATGTCCTTTCCTTAATGGCTATACAAAAATGACATCTATTGCAGGTATTTAAATTGGTGTGGGCAAATGTCAAACCTGCCTAGGCAGGCTCACAGTCTGTTTGTTTTAAGGATGATTTCAGCTTGGTCTCCATCAAATCAAAGCTTTTAATTCTGCCCAGGCAGGATCACATCTCATTATGATATTAGAAGGATTTTAATTTGGTCTCTGCAAAATCAACATTTTAGTTCTGATCAAATCAAAATTTCAGTCTTGCCTCGGCAGATTTAAAACCCACCTGGATTTTAGTTTGGACTGTGGCACAGAACCTGGACAACAACAGCTGTCCCTAATGCAGCAACAGTATGTGTGAGGGCGCCGTTGTACCTGCAGGTGCTGCTCTTCTGCATGACCTCTGCTCGATGGTAACCAGACAGCTTGCAAAACCCATCGTTGCTGTAGACGATCGGCCAGTCGACGATCTGAGCGTTGCCCAGCACAAAGTTGGTATCTGCTCACAAAAACTAGTGGGTTAGAAACGGTACTAGCTCAAGGCATCACATGATAGAAACACTACAGTACTGTTTCATACATGACAAGGCTGCATATTTCTTTGGGGATGCAGTTAACAGTTAAAGTGGTAAAAAAATAAATAAAAATGTCGCCACAGCTTCTGGAGCAAAAAGGGGATTTTTAGATGTCCAGCCAACACATGGCTGCTTATTGTTGCATCACACAAAGCCGAACGCTGGCCAGAACCAAGCAGCTCAGTGAAAGCAGCTGTATCCTCACTATACTTTATCTGATCTGTATTTTTGCACATTTCACTGAAAACTGATGAACAGTCTTCAGCACCAGGACTGATCACTGGATTCTTCATACAGCTCAAATATATAATAATAAACACAACTATAGCCACCAGCATGCAGCCCAAGCCCCAGGAAATACCACATATTCCTCATTTTTCTAACTACCGTCTCTCTATCTGCAGTAGAAATGTATGTGGTCACGACTAAACCAGGACGTATGATGATATGATCGTCAGATCACACGCTGTGTTTGTGATGAATAACAGCTAAAGGCCTTTCACAGTCTGCCCGCAGCACAACCACAACGCTTTACAGCCGTAAAGGAAGCCGGATCTGCCTTTAGGTTAGTCTGTAGGGTTTGGATCGGCCAGCCAATCAAATCGGCTGATTGGAACTCGTTTCAAAATACTCATCATCGGCCGGAGTTTTGCCGATTAAACACAGATATATTCTTAATTTTCTCATAAAACAGTAACTGCTAACCTAGCTTCAGCTACTCCCTGTCTGTTTATGTTAGCAATAGCATCGCTGTAGTTATGCCAACCTAGCATAGTGCTAGCTAGCAGCTTAAAGCCAGGAAGTAGCTGCAGGAATAACGTCAGCGTACAAAATATTAGAGAGTCCAGAACGAGCGTTCATCAATCAGCAAGATAGATAGATAGATATATATATATGGATGGATAGAGGGGGTTTCTTCATGATGTCATGTCACTCTGAGTTGTGCTTTGTCAGAAGCACCATGAGCGACTGTGAGGCTGTAACAGCAGCTCACGGTGTTGTGATGGAGGAACATCAGTGTGGGACTAACAGTGACCATTATACATTTAAATACAACTCTGTCAGAGACGACATGTTTGGACGTCTGAGAAAGGCGTCTCTGGTTTTTACTTTGGTTCATATGACTCATGACTTCATGGCAAAGAAAATAACAGAGTAGAGGAAATGTGATTTAATGTTAAAGGGCATCAGAGGTCTGCATCACTAATGTTCTGCAGTAACTTCACTCATGATGCTGCTGACATACAGCTACACCTGCGGCCTACACCTACAGATACAGTCATCAGTACAGCTGGTAGCTATGTTCATGCTCCATAGGAAGAACAATGCACAATGCAGACTTCAGATAAAATACACACATTACAGACATATTTGTTTGGAAAACTTTTGTTTTTCCTGATGCATATTCTGCTTGATGCTCTGCTGCACGTCTGTGTTCCTGACACTCCTCTCTGTTGTAAAGTTAAACACTAAAGGACAAAGTGTAGAGCAGTCCACTGTTCTGCCTGTGATTCGGATCTGTGTTGTTGTAGCTTTAAAGGACCTAAAAGAAGCTATTTAATTCATTATATATTTAAATTAATCGGCCGATTAATCGGTTATCAGAATTTTTATTTGCCAAATATCAGAATCGGCATCGGCCTCAAAAAAAATCCATATGGGTCGGGCCCGAGTTGTTTGTGCACGTCTTTAAAAAAAAACATTCTTGTGAGGTCCTTGAACTTATGATCCTTTTAACTTCAAAGGACAGTTTGAAGGTGAAGACTTAAGATTACCTTTTAGTTTTGGTTGGAGGCTAGCGATCACACTACGACAGAGAGCCGAACCGCTGATCAAAAAGTTCTGAGACTATGTACAGTTCAAGCAGCAGTGGAAGGACTGGCAATAGAAATGCCTGTTTCAGGTCAGGAGTACATCAGGAGTATAGTCCGGTACAGCTGCAGGGTGGAGGTGGGAGATCTTCCTCCCACTCACCTACCACCAAGAGGCTTCCAGTTGATGAGCTTCCAGCTGGACCTACAGCCCACTGTGAGGGCTCCTTCTGCAGATGTTTCATCTACCTGTGTAACTGGATATAATCAGCCCAACCACTCTAATACGTTTATAATGTTACCCCCAAACTAACAAAAAAACCCATTGTACTGTTTGTTGCAGACTTTCACAAGATATCCCTGACTTCAGGCAAAGATCTGAACCTCACAAAGCTATAGGCCCATCACTGACAGAACATAATGCATCTTCATGTTATTTGCTTTTTGTTCCTCATCCTGATTTTAAGCTAACTGAGAAGGAGTGCAAATACACCGTACTAGCCACTTTATTAAGTACACCTGGGCAGCCGAATGACATCCAATACAAGTGTGCTAATAAGTCTACTTTTATGACTTGGAGGAACATCCCTCATTACAACGTATTCCAGTCCAACACCACCACTAACTGTCTTCAGTGAGGCACATGTTTCCCTCCAAAGTGTTCTTTACATTTGTTGACACCTTTCCCCTGAAAAATGTCCACAAAACCAAATATGAGAAACTTTGTGGAATGTATGGCTGGATGCGGGGCATACCTCGACGAACACATCTGTTTCCTCTGTTTTTATTGTAATGTCAACAGTAACACATTCAGGTGTGATTTCACACATCCATCTTTTAAACCAAAGCCTGAAGCAAGGAGGCCAACGTGTGGTAGAGCTGAAGAGCTGCCTGCAGGCGTCAACATGCTCCAAAAAACCAGGACATGCACAACAAATATCATAAACTGTAATGCATGCTAATGCTTGAACGAGCTAAATAACTCATGAAACCACTAGTTCAACAGAAGGTTTCTCTTTCATTAATTGCTCTGACATGTTTCTGTATTGTGACAATGGCATGATTATTGGCTAATAACACAATTCTGTTGGTAACTATGGAGGAATACTGACACGTACAGGAAAAACTGGACAAGAAAAAACCTCAAAACCTATGTGAAACATAGAGTATATAAAATGGATGCACAAGACTGACAAATTATTGCAGTGAATAAAAAGATTGATTACAATTTCAATGACCCTGTGACCTTCCCTGTAGCGCCACCATTCAGACAAACTTTCCTTACTGTGTGCTATAATGAACAAAGGAGTCTCTCAGGGCCGCCAGCAACTCGTTAAAGTTTATGGCTTGATTTCATTCTTCATAATTTAATTAATTGGGGTGAATTGGTCTCAGCAGCAGTATGTCATGTTAGTTAATTGCTCAGCACTGAATGAAACAGCAGCCACTAACACAACATCCATGAGCGCTCCAACACTGCTGGCCATTTACGCTACTGCATGACTGTAATGGAGATAACTAGAGAAGTCCTCTGAGAGCCAGACCTCCTCCAAGCAGCTCATCTCCACCACGTTGTGATTTGCAGCCGATGATAAAGTCCTGATTCATTTACCCACACTGCTAGCTTCATGGAGAATCAGAACATAGCTTTAGCATTGAGTTAGCATTGATATCATTAACAACAAGCTGACGGAGTGATGGACGCTCGTTCTGGACTCTCAAATATTAAGAACACTGATGTTATTTCTGCAGTTCCTTACTGGCTTTAAGCTGCTAGCTAACACTATGCTAGGTTGGCATAACTACAGCCATGGTATTGCTAACATAAACAGACAGGGAGTAGCTTAAGCCGGGTTAGCACAACTTTAGCAATGCAACGTAAAATAACCAGATGGCAAGCCAGAACATCACCAGAATGTAATCACATGTTCATTGTGCCATTATCAACATTTCCAGAAAATTTCATGTGAATCTGTTCATAACTTTTCGAGTTATCTTACTAACAAACAAACCAACAAACAAACAGATAAACGCCAGCTAAAACGTAAATATATCTGACAAAGATAAATACGTTTCTGTATTTCTATTAGCAGTAATCATCTGGACTGTATGTGTGTTTTAAGGATATTCCCACAGAACCAGAACACTGTGAAACCTCTAAATGGTCACTATGTAATGACAAGTAGCCCACAGCTGAGTCTGATGGGAATCTTACTCCTTTTGAGGTATCTGGGCAAATGAAGTATAAGACACTTTACAGTTTTGACCTGGCAATGGATGTACTTGAAAAGTGAAAGAATTAACAGCGTCACAGTTTCTCCTCAGGGGAACATGAACGTCTGAGCCAGTTTTTCATGACAGTCCATCCAATAGATGCTGAACTAAAAGTGGCCAACCAACCGACTGACAATGAAACCCAAAGTACAATCAGAAAGTTCAAAGTTTGTTCCTGAGAGGTACGGAGAGTGACTTTGATGGAACAGATGTGAGTCTGGATTCTGGGTGATTTGCTTGGCCAATATCAGGTCCTGTTTTTGTGATCACTTGCTGGTGCAAATTTCACTAAGGACCTGCAGGCCCTTCAAATCGAGGATCATCACTGGTAACAAGAGTTAGGTCCATTGTTACGATCCAAAGACCAACCAGCAGGGAGAACATTCGGTGCACACAATCTCAACTGAGGGGCACCCCACAGCTCACCTCGCTGGGCGGCGACCCATAAACAGCGCTATAGTTAGCTGTAGTTAGCTATAGCTCACCTAGCTGAGCGGGCGATCCATGAACAGGGCTATAGTTTCCTGGGGGCGCCCCCTATAGAATAGAATAGACTTTATTTATCCCCGACCTGGTGCCATAGCAATAAAAAAAATCAATAAATACATATATATATATATATATATATATATATAGCTCATCTAGCTGAACGGCAACCCATGAATAGGGCTATAGTTAGCTGTAGTTAGCTACAGTTAGCTGTATTTAGCTAATAGCAAGCTGTAGTTAGCTGTACTTAGCTGTAGTTATATAGCTACAGCTAACTACAGCTCCCCAACACAGCCGTCGTGGGTTCAACTCCCACCCTTTGCTGCAGATCTCTCCCCATTCTACTCCTC